CCACTGCCTAATTTTGAACACACGTCGGTTAAAAAGACACCAAATAAATAAAAACGGATCAAACTACTACAGCGCCATCTTCCTTAGAGTCTGAACTAAGTCCTCCGCTGGTAAAATTTTTTTTATTTGCAATTTAAAATAGTGAAAATTAAATAAAACTAAAATGGGTAGACTCGCCCCAGAATCTAGTCCTGAAACTCAACTGTTTTATACCAATAACATCCTCAAATTTTAATCAGGCACTTCATTAAAAATGTTAATTATTGATTTAATATTTTTTTAATTAAATGATTATGATTAAATAACTATGATTAGCAACAAAATAGTATGATCGGCAAAAAGTATTAGAATTTTTCTTCTAACAATATTGCCCCCATAGATTTAAATCTTTATTCTTTCTTTACTTTTAAACTGATTAAAACTATACAAATAAATAGCGCTATACTTCGGAAAATATTATAAATTATATGTTTGTTACTGAAAAGGCATGCCAGCAAAATAGTATAATTAGAAAAGATAAATATAAATTAGCCAATTATATATTAGCAAACACAGTATGATGATGAATAGTATGAGAATTTTTCTTCTTACAATATTACATCTATCGATTTAAATCCTTAATCTTTCTTTATTTTCAAACTGAAGAAAATTATACAGATAAATAGCACTACTATACCTTAGAAAATGTTATTAATTAAATGTTTGTTACTGAAAAGGCATATCAGCAAAATAGTATGACAGGAAATTACAGAGAAAAAAAAATTAACATACTTGTTCTTGATTTGATTCTATTTTCCCTTCTTCAGCCTCAATGGCATCTAGATGAGCTGCTTTCATTTCGGAAATGAATTTTTTAAAACCATCAAGATTCCTGTCTCCCTGATACTTTTCAACCTGAAATTTTTTCACCACAGATTAAAGCTTAATTCACAAATTGCTTAAACAAGACATTCTGCTTGTGGCTTCTAGCTAAGAATTGTTTAATCATAATTTATAAGTTAGTGAAAGTTCTCAACAACAACTTTTATATTAAATCAGGGCTGATTGTGACACTAAGTGAAAAACTCTGTAAGTTTCAAAACTCGAACAAACAATTGAGCTCTGTGCTAAAACTCAATAACAAGATATCAATTTATATACAATTCATATTTAATATAATTTTTGTGAGCTAAGATTTATAATTAAATTACCTATTAACAAAGAATATCACATTTTTATTGTAACTAATTTAGGAACATACTTAGTTCTTACAAGAATTGCGGGATTAAATCACGAGAATATGATTCACAATGAGTAACTTGTAAATCAGGTAAATATGAAAATCGATGTTTGGTATAAAATCGAGAAAATATGAATCATGATATTAGCAGATTCCGCCGTAGTTTTAAATATTAAAAACGATAAAAATCCGACCAAAAAAAAAAAATCACAATTGCGGAAGAGTCATGTGTACAAAAACGTCTCGTCAACACGATTTAAATTTTAGATTGTAAAACTTAATTCTTACTTTCAAAATTTTAGAATGCGGTGAAAATTTCGTCAGACTATAAGTTTTGATTCGCGAACAAATTAATGGTCTAGAGATATGCGGAATTCTGTGAAAAAATCACATGCTCAGCTTCTAGACCTGGAGGGATGATACGAAAAACCCAGAATTTTGGGGCACAATCAATGTTAAATGTTTTAGAATCCCAATTATTTGAACATCAATAATCTGAATTGCTTCAAATAATAAGATTTTCTAAAAGCATCAGTCACAATCTGTCTTAAAGAAATATAAATTTAATTATTAAAAAGAACATTGTGAAAATTAAAATTTATGACTACTTAAAACTTATTTAAAACTAATGTAAAATTCACTTAAAAAATCAAGTGCAGAATCGACTTCTAAAATAATAATATAGCTCAGAGAATTTGCAAATTTTACAAATACTTTAGATACGAAATAAAATAATCAAATATATTTACTTTTTTCCCATTTATAATAAATAACAGTGTGGGAAAACCTTTCACTTCAAATTCAGTACAAGCCATTTTATTCACAGTACAATCAACCTAAAGACAAAAAATCTTTAATATAATATGGTTTTAAAAAAAATTACCTAAGACACAATTTAAATATGCATGCTGAAAAAATTATGATAAGTAATTATTATTCACAGATAAATCAAACAGAATACAAGCCACTATTTCTAAATAATATTTTGCTACATTAAATGGACTGAAAATCAACTGAATAATTACAAACAAAAAAAATGTCTCCCAAAAAGAAAGCTATCAAAATCAAATATTGTGTATGATTACACGAAAACAGTATTTTTTTTTTTGTGGCTGTATTTACAAAACTATTTATTAAATGACAGCAAATAATTAAACTTATCACTTTCTTCTTAGTCCTTTGACACAGAATTTTTATTAAACATATTTTTCATTATTGTTTTTTATTATTATTTTGTATTCATTTAGGTAAAAATAAATGAAAAATATTATATTTAGCATTTTAATAACTTATAGTCATGAGTTACAGCATGAAACACGGGTCTCTTTTTCTTTTTAAAAGTAAAATCTCCATAATGTAGCTCACTTCCAAACAATATTTTTTTAAAATTTCCACTTATTTAGATCTAAGAGAAAAAGTTATTCATCATTGAAGTTTCCTTAATTTATCAATTTAATCAATTATTGATACATTTTTGAGTATGAGTGAATAAAAAACTTTTTTTAAACTAAATTTTTTTGGATTTTATATTTTAGTACAAATATAATTCTGATAATCTGACAGATTTTTTTAGTAACTAATAGACTGTTTTTAGATCTAAAACGTAGCAAAATATATTTTTGCTTCAGATTAGAGCATCAGATAAACTGACATTTGTATCCCGTATGACATTGATATCTCATATGCATCAAAGGGTCAATATTGAGTCTGATGAGAAAATTAAAAAACTCGACACAATTGTGATTGGGAAATGTGATATCATTTTTAAAGAAAGATTTTGTATGTTAAATGATAACAAATCTTCTCATTATTACAGCAAGGTCCTTGCTACCACCTGCTATTGTGCCAAATTGCAACAAAATGTTTCATTTAATGACAAAACAAGCATTCATATTGGCCTATTGCAAGAGCTTAAGAAACTTATGTTTTCCTTTCCAGCCCAGCAAATCATTCAACAACATAAACAAAAGGATATGACAATTTTGTTTCATAAGTGGAGTTTATTTTTCTTTCTTGACGTTCCGAAATTTTCTAAGTATAAGTGTTTTCGTTGTTTCTACAGCTAATATCTGAGATCAGTTCAATAGCCAAGAACTGAACTAATTTATTTCGTTATATCAGTAACTGAATTACTTCATTTTGTTTAAAAAAAATTATTAATGTTATTTATTTAAATGTTTTTTCTTTCTTTTAAAAGTGCTGCTTTTCAATCTTTTCAACTTAATTATCATAAAATAAAGACTTGCAGGATTAAAGATTATAAATTTTTGCTTTCGATCAATAATAAATAATTCGTACAGTATGTTTTAAAGAAAGAAATAAAGTTCATGAAATAAATTTTACCTTGGCTATTTTTATTGATTTGTCATGTTGCAATGAAATAGCAAGCTCTTCCCATGTGCCGGCCATTCTCTGACAATGACCACACCAGGGAGCAAAGAATTTTACAAAATGCATTCCATAATCTATCACTTGATGGAAATTTTCATCAGTTAACTCTATTGCACCACTTCCAGGTGACATTTTTAAGCTAGGAGGAGGTATCTGATATAAAAGAAAAAATTGGAAGAGACAGAGTATAATTACAGTATAATACATTTTCTACCACTCGATTGTCTTCTATTATATTATTTTAATTCATTCTGTTTAAACCCTTGACATACGAAGACGTCTGGGAGAGGTCATTTGTTGATGCCAACTTGCTCCGGAAAGCAAATAGATATTTTAAAGTGGTAGTTTATCAATTGTGATTCTTAGTTAAATAAATTCAATTTAGTAGATTTTTATACACAGCTATTTCTAAATAATTCGTAGGCTTGGCATGAGCCGGTCAACATTCCGTTGCGAGTTGTTGTTTACAGTGCAATAAAAGATCATTTCTATATCAAGAAATTATATGTCAAGGGGTTAAGAAAGAGATAAACCAAAGACTTTTTTTGTTAAAAAATACGAATTTAATGTAAAACTACATTGACACTATTATAGAAATAAGTGATAGAGCTGTGTTTTTAAATAATTTAATTACAAGATAATCTAAAAAATTTTTTTAAATTCAAACTCTGATAAAATTGCTATTCTAATTAAATTCTAAAATTTGTTTTGAACTTAAATTTGTACAAAATGTCTACATTGTTTGCACATACACATAAATATTAGATGATGCATTTGTAAATAAATTTTATGCACACAATATGCAATTTTATGCATACAAGTATAAGTATAGATATGTGTGTAACTAAAATGTATGCATGTACATACGTATTTACCTACATATACATTAGGCTAATATATATTTATATATATTTTAGTTACATTTATCCTTACATACATTGCATGTCAAAGCACACAAAATATGTCATTATACACTACATTATATTATCTGTGTACTGTATGATGCAATTGTACATATACAGTGAAACCTTTTGGAAGCGACTATTCTGTGTTTCACAGTAAAATGGCCAGTAATGGAGATTGGTTTTTCTAAGAAGTTACCTCTTTGACTTCGAAGGTACATTATCAAAGGTACAGGATTTTTCTCAAACATTTTTAATTTTAGTCAGTGTCATTTTGTTGGTGCAAAAATGCCACTTCTGTTAGTGTCATGAAAAGATAGATCTATGAATAACATTTTGTGCCTATTACAAAAATGATACCACCTGATATAATTATGAGCATAAACTATTTTACATTCATAAACTATTCTACATAAATAAAAAATTACGTATTTTGTTTAAATTTGCATTTAATTTTATATCATAAAAATCTGTGAGCTTTAAAAGATGATAAGAGGTTTGATTGTTTGAGATGCTTGTTTTTTCTAAAATAACTTTTTTTCTTCTAATTTTACTTTCAACTCTAAAAGTAAATCATTGATAGCATAGTCTTTAGTGCACTCTGACTGCAACATGAGGTTGTATCATCAAAAAGAACTCTCTAAATAAGAGCCTCATATAAATATTTTGTATAATTTGTAATCTACTTATATGCTTTGTTAAATTTTTTGCTTTGATATTTTTTTATGTCTCCTTATTTGAAGTTTTGGGCATTTAGTGTGAAGGATTGCCCGATCGCTCGGTGAAGTTTTGAGTATTGTGCACACACTTTCCTATCCTCTACATCTGCCTGCATAGGCTTTTGAATTACTTCTGCTATAGAATAATGAAGTTCGTTGAAGTTATTTCCATGTTCATACTCCTTGTTAGGTCTTCCAGCATAGTTTTCACATACAAATTGCTGTAAATTGTCGATGAGTGAGTTTGGTAATTCATTAACAACTAAAAATAGAGCAACTTTAAACAACTTATTATAAAGGACTCATTTTTTTCTCTCAACACTTGTTGTAGCTGTTCTTTTCTAACACATGTCTTTTTCAAAATGGAGGAAGACGAAATTTTTTCCAAAATTCGAGCATTTCAAAATTGATTAATAGAGTGCGCGAACTTTATCTTGTTAATCATTTTTTAATGCGAGAAAGGAAAAAAATATGAGAGATTCTCGCACTGTAGTGAAAACACTGTCGTAAATAGAGGATGGTCTTTTCTAGAGGTCTCACTGTAGTCTACAATCCTAATTACTTGCAATCCAATATTAAGATTGCATGCAATCATATATTTTGATTACTTGTAATCATGATTACAAGCAATTATATACAGTAGAGCTCCGATTATCCGAACCCTTATTATCCGAACGTCCAATTATCCAAACTATGCCTGAATTCGTTTTTTTTTTTTAAAGCATAGAATAAATAATTTACTTTTCTAAAGTAAAGAATAAATAATATCCTCTACATCTGAAGAACATATTTAATTTACAACCTTTATAGCAGTTTTCTTATAGTAGCCATACATACATGTATTGTGATACAGTTAAACCTACATATCCCTTTACAACTGAAAATTATCTTCCAAGAATGCGAGCTTCATTTTGATAGTTTACAATGGTTGGAATGCAGAAGGAGTTTATGAATAGATAAGTGCTAAAACTCTATAATTGGGGAATGGGAAGTTGTCACTTATGGTTAATGATTAGTGATTACAGTGCTTGGAATCTTAAATCTTGGAATAAAATTCTTAACAGAAAAACAAACGAAACTGAAGTTTCTGAACCAGTAGATCTTTCGGAATGAAAATAATGAAATTGTTGCTGAAATTTTGAGCGAAAATTACTAAGACTAAGAGGAAGAAGTAGGTGATGAAGTTCAAGATAGTGGACCTTCTCATATGGAAGCATGCAATTCATTAGATTTTGCAATGAATTGGCTAGAATGTCAAAATGATTTTGATCCAGTTCAGTTGATTTATTTAAAAAGAATATGAGATATATGACTGCTCAAAAAAAATAGTAAAATGCATCTTCTTTGAAACGAAATCTTTTCTGGATTTCTTTTGCAATGGAAAATAATGAAAAATGTGGTAAAATCAGTAATTGACGAAAAAATTATAAAAAAACTGAAATATGATAAAAATAATTCAAAATGAAAAAGAAAGTAAAAGAAAAAAATTAATTAAAAATATTTAAAAATTGACAAAAAAAAAAGAAGCTTTTAAACACGCCAGAGCTATTTTGCATAAATAATAATCATTTACACTAGATTTTAAACGATTTTCCAACTATCCGAACTTTCACTATCCGAACCATGCTCGGTCCCGAGCAGCTTGGATAATCAGCGCTCTACTGTATTTTGATTACTTGTAATCATGATTACAAGACCTTAGACTGAAATTTGTTTTTGGTCTTAGTATAATAAATGCACAATAAATTATAAAAGAAAAAAACATTTTATGAAGATAAGAGAATTTTTACAAGTGAACTAACGTGAGAAGGATGGGGTAGCTTTATGCTGCTTTGTCTCAAATTTTTATCAGCCACACATAAAAAGTATTATGAACTCACTGATTTTTTTTCTTCTTTTAGGTTATTTGAAATGAATTCTTCAAGTCCTAATAAATCACGCTTTCCTTGGTATTTTATACCCTTTTTCTCTCCAACGTCATAGAAAATAAGCCTAAAAAAAATTCAGAATATAAAATACCTAAAACACAATGAACCAAAACCTTTCAAAGAATTTGCAAGGTATTAAAATCTAAAAATAAACGAAACTTGATTATGATTTTATGGGCACCTAACAATTCCTATGCAACATGAATAAAACAGATGCTATTTATGATTTGCTTTCTTTAAATTGATTGCTTTCTTAAATGATTTGCTTTCTTTACAACAATATACAGTATAACTATTCGGACCTAAAATCTGGAACACTACAAAATCTGGATTTCTGAAATCCAGAAACCTGAATTTGCTTTCTTTACAAGATGAGAGAAAAAAATTGTTAAATCAGTATTAAGATTGAGGTAAGATGTAAAAATTTATGTTTCATAAAAAATATAATAAAAAATTGATTTTGAAAACTGAAAATCCATGTCACAATAATATTATATTGGCAATATTAAAACTTAATAAGCCACGTGGAAATTATTGTAATTGCTGAAAAAATAAAAGATAGAGAAAACTGAAAATTGTCATAAATCATGCAGGTCCAAAAGTGATTAAAGTCTTAAGACTATTGTACAATTAAAAGGAGTCAAGATTTTAAAAATTCCATAGCAATTACTGCTCAAAAAATTTGCATGGAAAATAAACCCACACTGTTTTAAAAATAAAAATCTATTCTGATAAATTTTTTCAGTATTTAAAAGTTTCTCTAACACTGCATTATCTATGATAAAAAAAAATTTGCACAAAATTTAGAATTATTCATTAATGTTAATAATTTTTATCAAGCTGGTAAAATCTTGTCAAATTGTGAATTTTTTAAAAAGTTTAATAACTTTTAAAATATTTGAGTTATTTATTTGTTCTAAAACCCAGATAATTTTTTATGGCAATATAGTGTACATAGTTTTAAATTATAGCTTTGTCTCAGGTGTAAGGCATTCAAATTCCAATTTTCTTCCGCAAAAGATTTCTGAAAAACATTGTTAAATTAATCTATAAGAACACACATTCTTCTACTCGATTCTTTTTTTTTTTTCAACAGTTTAAAAATTACACTATAAGCTCAAAAAACTTCATTTTGGAAAAAATTCACAAAAATTAATATTTTTCAAAAAATTTTCCACTAAAGTACACACCAAACATACCATTGATAATAAAAATCTTTTTTTAAAATTTTAATGGCTGACTGAAAATATTTTTTTGCAATGCCCAGATTTTTAAAAAAATAATTAATTTATAATTTGAAGATTTTTCATAAATATAATTGTGAAAATAATATTTTCTTAGAATTAATATTAATTTTGGATTTTGATAGTTTTCTCATCGGTGTCTGACATCTATCAGTGTATATATATACATATATATATACATATTTTATTTTGATTTTAAAAGTAAGCAATTTACTAGTTGTGATATTCTTTATACCTGTCATTTTCTTTTTTAGTAAATTATACCATATCACATATTCTACTGTAAAATACTCCTGACAAAAGTACGGTAAGAAATACTGACACCCTGAAGGCTGGAACTTATTACTGTAAAATCCATTTACACCATAAAATTTTGCAAATCAAATCGCAATTTACTTTATGCGTTAACAAAAAATTACACTTTGACTCTCCTTTTATAATCATCATCCTTATAAAAATATCCAAGCGTTTTATAAAATTAAAACAAAGCAAGCAATCAAGAAATTATAATGAGTTTCGTATATTAAATTAATAATAATAAAAAAACAATTATCTCTCTGTCAAACTAGTGAAATTTGTTACTACATAAGGATATTACGATCAATGATACCATTTTCCTACGCTTTAAAATTTAAAAAAAAATGCATTAAGCTTTTTACATCCTATACACTGTAGGAAATTTCACAGAAAGATGTTTAACTAACAATTTATTTAATTATT